CTTGGCACGTTTTTGTGATTCTTTTCGAAGGATTTTCACAAAATCCCCACAGACGAACCTGTCTAGAAATGGAGGACTAAAGGCCACCCCAAATTCAGCACTAGACAATCGAGGAAATTTTGGAGGATATAAGTTAAAAGCTAACTTGTACCGTTGTTCAGGTTTAATGTACGAAGGTAGCTTTAAATCCTCTAGTTTCTTTGTAAATTTTTCTTTCAATGTGATTATTGCTTCGCTAATGGATCGACTAAGATCATCAGGTTTATAAGCAATTTCAAAGTACTTCTGGAATGCTTAGATCTCTTTGATATGTGTCGAAGTACTTTTCTTTGCTCTTTCCTGCACAAGGGCAAAGGCATGAGTTAGATATTGGTTGAAAGCAGTGACATCAAAAACTTTTGTAGTGTAATAGTTTTTCCACCAAGTGTCGAATTCTTTGGTGCAGAGGAAAGATGGTTTAAAAGCTATAGGGGTGAACTGTGTAATGCCGACATATTTGGCCATTTCTTTATTACACTCTGCTTCATTATGGATCATATTGTAGTGAATCAAGGAGCCTTTCTTGGGGAAAAGAGGCTGAGGTTTAATCTGAATAAAACCAAACTTTCGAGCAACAAGGTTTGGTTGGTAGCTAACGAGAGTAAAATAAGGTATTGAAGGATTGAGTCTTGTGGCTAGAAGTCAGGGAGTAAGGAATGCTTCCCATATAGCAAGAGACTATGCTTCCTGTTCTTTCGAAAGGGCAGGGAATCTTCTTGTAAACCACTCAGGACCAACCTTTCATTCAGCAAAGGGAGCCATGCTTGGTGTAAAGTTATAGTGCTTGGCAAACATCATCATATAACTAGTGAATATTTGTTGAAGATTCAACCCTTCATCACTTGGGACAGCAAAGCAAGCCTTGTGCCTTAGACTCTCCTGTTCATCACTTCATTAGCCTTTGTGTTAATAGGGTTATGAATAGGAAGAGATGCTTCAAAAGTGGCGTTCAGCCATAATTGTAGTAACCAGAAAGGTCCAGAGCGCAGCATGTTTTCTTTCGACTTAATGGTTTTGATTGTTGTAACGCCTTCCCCTAGAGACTCATAGAGGTTGGCTAGGATCTTTCACCAAGGCATAGGTTGTGTCCAGCGTGCAGTTGGTTCACCATTGTTAAATACCTCTTCACCACTTGTAAAGATCTCGAGCAGAAGACGCAATGAGATAGCCAGAGAGCCAGAAATGCAACATGCTCTTGGTCAGAGACTTTGTCAGATTCCTTGTCATGATAATAAGCGATATATGTTGTGAAGTCTACCTTGGTAGTGTCGAATCCTATAGAATCTTCAGCTAAGAAGTTAGGGTCATAGGTTTTTCTAGTTGGCTTAAACCTAGTGATGACAGAAACCTCGAAAGGGTTGGAGTCATCATTCCACCAGTAAGATGAAAATTGTTGTGGATGTTATCCCAGAAATATAGAGAAGTGAGTAACATGTACAGACAATAGCCAGGTCCAACCTTCGATAATTAGATCATTCCGAAGATACCCATGTTTTTCCAAACTTAGGATTTTGCTTTTTCCACCTTTTTCAACCAGGCAAGGTAATCTGATGGATCTTTGAACAATGGGCATGATCTGAAAACCTTAAAGCTATTGTTCATGTATTCTAAGTTAATAAGGACTTTGGATGCTTCATTCGAAGGGGAACCTTGACCATTAACTTTTAATCTTTCATCGGACTTAATGTCCTTGTTAGACCTAGTTTTTTTCCCGTATGTTATGGGTTTGTAATGGTGATACACGTGAAAAAATTCCTTAAGCTTAGTAGGATCAGTAGAAAGGTTTGGAAGGGGACCTAACATGGCATGTGATTTACTAGTAATAGAGACAACAATCAGTACCTGAGATTGATAGATTATGCGCTTCTCTTCTTCAAGAGGAGGTTCATGTACATATTGTTGGTTGCCTACCACTGTTGGGACCAAAGTTATGTGGGCTAGAGCGAGTTCCATGGATTTCTTGGACTCCTTAGTGTTATTTCCTGAATCCTTTGAAGTCTTAGTTGAAGATGCCATTGATGAAGTAGATTTGGAGAAAAATGGTTTTGCAAGAGATAAAGAGTTGAAAGAGTGTGCTCAAAGATGTCCAGAGAGTGAAAAGATTAAAAATGGTGATTTTCACTATTTATAGATGGATGAAGTGGAAGCGGTTTACTGTACATATTAATGGTGGAAGAAATCGTGGGACACGTGTCATATAGAGGATACATGATGAAACGGTAGCAGTTGATCTGACCCACGATCTCCTAGGGACTAGATGTGTGATGATTAAAAAGACTCACGCATGGGTTTTTCAGGAGACGTTTGGAAAAAAAGTTGTCATGATAATGATGACGTCATAGCAGATAAAGGGTTTCTGGCGTCGAATGTGAACTTCAAAAAATGTCATTTTCTCCCTTTAGTCGAAAATGACATTTTTGGGGGGAAGTTTGTTGGCTGGCAATTTTGACGCCAAGATTTGTTTATGAATAATAAGCAAAGAGCAAACGTTTCTTGAGTTTTTACTGAATTCAACAGGAGCATATACAAAGGTCCTAGTCTAAGAGGTCTTCATGAGAAGTGTACAAAGCTCTCTTTCGAAAGGAGTTTTGAATTTTAAAATATAGATAATAATTGTCTTTTGTCCTTATCCATTTCTCAAAAAAGACGCGTGGAGAGCTTTGGTGAAATGAAGACATGCAGAACAAAATGTGTCATTTTTTGGAGAAATATCCGTTGAAGACAGTTATTTTCGACATGTTATAAATAGGAGTCTTAGTGTTTAGGATTTTCGTGTGTTCAATTGTTGTACTATACTCATAAAATCACTCAAAGTTTCTAAGTTAATTGAGAAAAGAGTTTTCATTAAGAATGTACGTTTGAAACACCTTCTTTTGTTTCAATTGAAAGTTATTTTCAGTTTACCCTTTATTTCTTCATTTTAATTTTACTTTGAAGTTTCTTTATTGCAATCTTTTACAATTTTGTAAATTTACATTTTTAAACTTTGAACAAACTTTTACAAACATGAATGTTGTCGAAGTGTTCTTAGAATTTTCAGAAACAAATTAAACAATAGATATGTCCTAGGATTCACTGGTTGATCCTACAAGTAAACCAATTTTTAGAGACCAGCGGTTGTTTGCCAATTTTCATGGTAAACACCTAGTAAGGTTTTTAACGAGGCAGTTCCCTTTCACCCAACCCAACTCAACCCTTATTTTTACCTAACCCAATCATGTATGGGTCCAACGCAAACCAACCTATTCAAACCCATTGGAATTTGGTTCAGGTAACGGGTTTGAAATTTTAAATCCACGAACCCAACCTATTGATATGTTACACTAATTTTATTTTATTTTATTAGAAATTATCTAGCATAATTCTTACAATGCATATTTTTTAATATAATTATAGTTTTTATTAATTGTAAAAGGTTACGTGCATAATTCAAATTTAAGAGATCAACTTTATTTATTAAAGAGAAAAATATCTTACCTTTTAAATTATATTTTACACCACTTTTATATTTTTTTTAAATTTATGTGAATCATAAAAGAGGTTTCATGTATTAACCAATAAATTTTATTCATATTTAATACTAAAAATTTATAATTTTTTAATATTTTTGTAATATAAATATGTTAATTAAATTAATATTTTATTTAAAATTTAAAATTTATATTTTATAAATGATCCACAAACCCAATCCAACTCAACTCATTGATCAGCGGGTTAGTTTGGATTTAATTTTAAAAATATGACTTGAAAATTTAACCCAACCCAAATAATAATGACCGGGCCGAATTTAGACCCAACCCAACCATGAACACCTCCATTAAATATATACGAATTATTAATTTCTTGTCTACCATTTATATTCTATAAATAAAACCTAAATTACTATGTAAAATTACAATAATTTAATATAAAACTTATTATTTCTCTAAACTTTAGTGTTCCTTCTTCTTACTTTACAACAAATTATTATAATAGAATTTAAAATGGTAATTAAAAAAAATCTAAAGTAACATATAACATTAATTGCAAATAAATCAAGTCTCTGATGAAAAAAATGCAAATAGTGATAGTTATGACAATTACCGGTATGAAAAAATAAACCCTAAATTCATCCCAAACAATTTGAATTGAGTTCGACTAGCTCTCCCCACTTTCAATGGTGTAATCAGTTTTTTTAATAAAAATAATATTCTTTTAATATTAAATTACAAATAAAAAAGTAAAATAATATCAAAATTTTTGACATATATTTTACATAAATAATAAAATAAAATCCAAAATGTTAAATATTAAAGATAAAATTAATATTTTAAATTATCAAAATTAAATAATAAAATATAAACTAATATAACCAAAACATATTTGAAAGCAGATTCATAATGATTAATTTTTTTAAAATAAGAAAATCATAATGAATAGAAAAATCTTCTAAAATACTTAATAATTTAATATTATTGTATTTCTAGGATAGAAAACAAAATATGTATCATCATATTCAATTATTCATGCTATTTTAGAAAACTTTTTGTCGTTAAGTGCATTTATCTCTCTTCCATAAAACTTAAACTCTTTTTTCAGTTAATGAACACTTACTTACCCTTTTTTCTTTCTTTTTCTTTTAGGTCTACATTCAATATATTTTGTTTTTTTAGTAAAGTGGAAATTTCTGTCACTAGCTAGTTACTATCTGTTTTGCATTATATTATTCATTCATGAAGCTCCTATTGTTGCTTATAATCCAATATTGTATTGTTCCTTTTTTTTCCAACCATGGCTTTCTATACTTGCTTTTGCCATTTCAAGGTACAATTTATTTATTTTTATATGATCTTAATGTTTCTTATTTTCTATCTATGCATTTTATTTTTTAGTTCATGGTTTCAATCTGTAAAGTTTTAAACTTTAATAATTTAAATTTTTAATTGAATATTTAGTATAATTAACATTTTTGTATCTCTAAAATGGTGAAGGTTGCTTATCCCTTCTTCTCTTCTTTTCTCAATTTCTTCCTCCTAATTACATTGGCAACCTCTTCCTCATTCTTATCAGGTATATTAATTTCTTTTTTTTTTACAATTTTTTTATGATCAATGATATGAATATATAATAAACATATTGAAATTGGTTTAATTTAGTTTTAATTTTTTTTTTACATAGATAACATATTTGAGAGTGATACTTTCACTGGACGTACTCTCTTACAAACTAAAAAAGGTAATTGTCAATTTTTTTTTTGTTAAAATAATTACATAGTGATCAAGATTCAAACTTTGGTGTGACTACTAAATAAATAAGAAAAAATATATATAAAAACAATTGAATAATTTTTTTTAATTGTACAGCTTGTGGAGTTGATTTTCAGAACCAGAACTACTCAATTATAATAAGGCAATGTAAAGGTCCAAGATACCCTCCAATAGCTTGCTGTGAGGCATTCAAACAATTTGCTTGTCCATTTTCTGATGAGATCAATGACTTGACAACTAATTGTGCTACAATTATGTTTACTTACATAAATGCCTATGGAAAATATCCACCTGGATTATTTGCTCATGAGTGCAGAGAAGGGCAAAAGGGTCTTGATTGCAGCCAAGTAAAATTAGCCAATACTTATAATATTTCTAGTAGTGGTGTTCATGTGGTTGCTCCTCACTCTATCTTGTTGATTTCAATTATTGGTTTTTTGGGATTTAGTTTCTAAACATGTGAGAGTGAGATGCATCTTTTCTGTATGAAGGTGAGGAATTTTATTTTCAGAATAATAAAAACTACTACTAATTAGTTATTAATTATTGAAGGTGTGGTTGAACTCATTCAGAACACACATAAATGTTAAGTTCTCTGAAAATTTGATTATTCATCGTAAGTCTTTCTAATTTGAAAGATTCATCGTAAGTCTTTAATTTAATTTAATGTTCTGTTTTAATCTTTTAACTAAAAAACCTTATACGATAATCACTTAACTTCACTTTTATTATCTTATTTGGTCTATTCTGTCAATTTCTGATAAAAAAACATTAAATTTTAATGACGTGATATAACATCAAAGTCAATGGTACAAATCTGAGTTAACATATGAAGGTAAAAACTAAAATACTGTTTAAACTGCAAGAATTTTGTTTTTGAGAGTTTTTAACGTTCGAAAACAAAATTCCCACAATTTAAATAGTACATCAATTTATAACTATTCATATATGTTACGTATTCTATTGTCACCCCTAACATTTTCTAATCAATTGAGCTATATTTTCTCTCTTAAAAAAATATTAGTTGTTTTACTTTTGTAATAATTACGATGATTGTGTGTAATTTATCTTCTAATCTAAAGTTCTAAACCATAATCCTCCACTCTAAAAAGTGCACCGGTCAACTCCAAAATAAAAGGACATGAAACACAAAAGTGGCCCCTCTCTAGAGATGAATTGCTTCTCTGCTTTTTTCCACTAGTCAACTCAAACAAACTTAGCATCCAATAAAGAGCTGAGTTATTAGACCAACAAATATAAACTTGGATAACAAAAAATGATGTATATTCTCTTTCAAACAAAAAATCACATTATTTTTCATCTGAGTATAAGTCCTATTAAGCAGATCTTTTTTATCTGTAAATTTTAATATATTATTATATTACTCTCTCGCAAAGTGATAATAACGATTAAAAACTCATACATAAACATCCAGAATTCACATCTTAATATTTACACTAGCTCTATCAGTATTTTATTAGTTGAGATAGAATTTGTAAAATCTTTCGGATTTCTATTATAAATATAAAAAAAGTACATTATAAATTTATGGAATAACAAGGGTATCTATACTATAAATATAAAATAAGATGCAAGTTGAAGGGAGATTAAGTTATTGTCATGTTACTTATCAAACTTTTTTGTTATTTAGTGCATTTACCTGTTTTCCATAAAACTCAAACTCTCTTTATTTTCAGTTAGTGGACAATTACTTAACCTTTTTCCCTTCCTCTTTTTTTGGGCTCTGACATTCAATACTTTGTTTTCTCATCAAGTGGAAACTCCTGTCAGTCACTAGTTACCTTCTGTTTTGCATTATATTATTCATTCATGAAGTTCCTATTGTTGCTTAATCCAATATTGTCTTGTTCCCTTGTTTTTCTTCAACCATGGCTTTCTCTTCTTCTTGCTTTTCTCATTCCAAGGTACACTTATTTTGTGTTTTTTTATACGATCTAAATTGAACGTAATCATATGTATCAGTGTCATGTCTATCTCAGACTTCTATCTCAGACACTGACACTTGTTGAACACTGATCAGAAGTGTCATGCTTCTGAGATCATTTTGTGTTTCCTATTATAATATTTAGGTAACATGTTTGTATCTTCAATTGGTGAATGTTGTTTATAATTATGATTTTGTTTCTTTAAGATTGATCACTTAGGGAAGAATAAAGTTTGGAATGGTGCCGAGCTTTGTAACAAACTCATTGTGAGAAATAGAATCAACAACTTAATCAAAGATTGGAGTTTCATAAGAGGATCAAGAGTTCTTGTGAAACAAAAAGCTATGAAATTTTCATCTTATAGAAAAGCAAGTCCAGTATATGCTTCATGTAATCCCTTTTTCACGATACACTGACAGTGTCAAAAATCTTTATTGTCTCGTTTAGTTTTTGATATTTTCTTTTCTGATTTTTTTCTCTACCTTCATGTTGCAGTGTTATCTGGATCACAACTTGCTAGCACTGCCTTTACAATAGGAACAACATCAGTACTTCCATTTTACACTCTCATGGTTCTAGCTCCAAATTCTGACCTAGTATGTTTCTTACTATATTTGACAAAATCTTCGATTTTATTCACTTCTTCGTATTTTTCAATAAACCGGTGACACCTCTGATTCTTGGGTGATGACAAAACTATGCTTGAACAGCTCAAATAATTGAGCTGTAAACTGTTGTTTTACGGCTAAATCGGTTGAACCATCCAGTTCAATTTTCAAAACATTGCTAAAGTCCTAGTTCAATTTTTTTGCCTAATTCATTTTCTTTGAATTCAAAAATGCAGACAAAAAAATCTATGCAAAGTAATGTTCCATATGCAATACTTGGAATTTTATATGCATATTTACTGTATCTTTCATGGACTCCAGAGACAGTTCAACTGATTTTTGCAAGTAAATACTTGCTACCAGAGGTGTGTATTAATCAATAAAATTAAACTTTTCAGTTTCAAAATACTTGTTATTATTATATCATGTCATTTTGATATATTTTTTTTCCTTTCTTTGCTTTGTGCAGCTAAGTAGTATAGGAAAAATGTTCTCTAGTGAGATGACTTTAGCCTCTGCTTGGATTCACCTGCTTGTTATTGATCTCTTTGCTGCAAGGTTGTGCCTCTTTTCTAACCTTCCTCCAATTACATTACTTTCTAAGCATTGACACATACACAAAACATGACTCTGATAATAATTTAAAAAATGAAATAATATATGAACACGAAACATGACCCTGATAAGTTTAAAAAATGAAATGGTATATAAACATGAATCAGGGTCATGTTGGTGTCTCACATGAAACATGTAAGATAAGTGTCGGTGCTATGTAGATCAGAATGAGACATGTTTATGGGATTAAAAACAAATTTAAAGCTTATTGTGATTATATTTTGTGTTGATATAAATGCAGGCAGGTATTTGTAGATGGACAAGAGAATGGGATTGAGACAAGGCATTCAGTTTCTCTTTGCCTTTTCTTTTGCCCTATTGGGATTCTTTCTCATGTCATAACCAAGGCAATGACTAAAACTATCAAGGAAAACAAATAGGATTTTTGGAGGGTTCATGGTTGAGCTCCTATGGAGCCAAATAAGAATTTTATTCCAAGTTTTACAATATCATAAATTCATGTAATCGAATGTTTCTGCATAGTTACCATCTGATCGATCTTAACAGAACTCAGTTTCACATGTTTTTATTATAGCAAATACAACAATTCAAAGAATAACCAACTGTTTGGCATTCAATATTTTCATTAAAATGTATAGTTTCAGCTTATATAAAGATTTAAACAACTTCTACCAATATCATGCTGTTATCTTTTTTAAACTGATAATTTCTTCTAAACTACACAAGGAACTCCTAGATTAATGAATGATCCTGTACAAGACAAAATCGATGAACTTTGTAAGCTAAAAGTGCAGTTCAGCATCCCTAAAAATCGGATTAATCAGAGCAAGAGTTTGAGCCGATAAGTTTTTTGCCACTGTAAGTCCCTGGAAGTCGCGGATAATGCCATTTTTGCAACTAGTAGTGCACAAAATGAAATTTCCAGAGATCAAGTGTAACTCATGATATAACAAAGGGACATATGTTTCAATAGAATCATCCATTTGATGCTCCAAAACAAACTTCAAGTAGGTAGCGACGACATCTCGATTGGATTATCGAATTCTTCAGTCAATAAATCTGATTTTCGAGTAGAATCTTTTCTGTTGCGCTCCAATGAAGTTGCTTCATATATCCCTTCATAAGTTTGTTGCGCAACATTAATTTTTAAAAGACAAAGAATAAGAGAAATTTGAGATGCATGTTGACATAAATTTGAAGAGAACAATTAATATTCAAAACATACCGAAACCTAATATTAAGCTGCAAATCACGAAGCCTGTAAGAGAAAAATCCATCTTGTACACCATCTCCATGACAATGATGCATGCGCTAGCAGCCATCAAATGCCTCGGTGAGGAGAAAACCATGTGCAATCTACAATGAAAAGTATAAATTTCAGTATCGCTATTTGACAACATTTTGTGTTGAATATTGTATCACAGGACAATAACTTGGTTTGTTCAGATTCTTCTATATTATAGTGCCATCGCGACACTATAGTATAGCAGAATCTGAACCATCACTCGTGGCAATAATATCACGGCATACCTCTCCTCTGCAATACTGTCAGCATAGAATATCACGATATTTCCGAAGAGAATTGTGCTGAAGAAGGCCCAGGCCGAGAAGGGCAGTTTCCCGTTGCTTTCGGAAGGTGATCCCTGAAGGAGTCAAAGGAGCGACATGAAGAGGATTACATAAATCGTCATATGTTAGTTAAAACAAAACAACAAAACTTCTATAAAACAGAAAACACCATCACAGAACTCACTATGATTACGTCCCACATGGCAATAGGAAACATAAAACACGTCGCAGAAGCAATAGTTAAAGCATGGAGCCGCCTTTTAAGTTGATTCTGAAAGAAAAAAGATATTCCAGATTAGATATTAGGGGATGCATAAAGCATTTGAAACCAAAGATAAAGCTAATCGCAAATTGCATGAATGTTACTACCTTGATTGAAACGCGCCTTGCGATCACTCTCCTAAGTGCTGATAGGATACCAGCAATAATAGGGATTAACATATGCTTCAAGCCCAAAACGTGTTCTTTTTGAGCCTCAGATTCCTCTCTATCTTCCCACGGTATATTCTAGTTAAGCTTACAACCGTTTGGAAAAGATAAAAAATGATGATAGATTTCACAAACAAGAAAAAGAAATGCACTTAGGAGTAAAATTAGTCAATTAAAAACCGAACAGGACTATGCTACGGTTCAGTTATTTTAAGGGTTTGATCACAATTTTATCTTGATTTAAGGAGGTTGAACCATGACCTAGAGGTCTGGCTGGTTTGATGTCATGTTTGGTTTATAATACATTGAATTTAAGAAAGAAAATAATAACAAAATGAGTAAGGATATAGAACGGAGAAAATGTCGCTGTGGCCCATCCTTCAGATAGCAGATAAAATGATGCACACATGGCAATTAAGCCACCTATCTGGTTCAAAAAATAAGAAAGTGTAACCACCAGATTAGAGAAGATCATAAACTTCTTTTAAACACATTAATCACAACCAAGACGGCACATAACATCATTAATTAAGCGCTTAAAGCATAAGCTCTAATCATATAAGTGCCTATGTATAAGTCATTTCTAATAGTATAACAAAATAAAATAAAGTCAGGTGGTTTTTATATAAGCTACAAGTTGTTTTCATAAGCTATCTTAGAGAGCTTATCGAAATAAGCTAAAAACAACTTATGAACATGTCGTAAGATGTTTCCGTAAGCTCTCTCAAACCGCTTAACACGTGCTTATGCAAGTAGATAAGCTCAAATAAATCAATTCAAACAGATATACAAGAAACATGAATAAACTAATGAAACTGTATAATTGGATAACCCTAAAGAGAGGATAAGGAAAAACAAAATCTTCATGAGAAATGGTAAAACAATTAGGGAAACAGTTACAGATTCCAAAAATAGTAATCAACACAAATTAAGATGAAGGGAGAAACATTTTGTAGAAAGATCTAACTCTTGTAGGATAAGTATCCAACTAAATTGGAGTATACAGTTTTCATAATTCGGGGTATTGTTTACATAACACAATCAGTGAAAGGAAGTATACAAAAATATTACCTTTTTCCACAGATTGCTTCTCCTCCCATACAACACTCCGGACAGTACTCCAAGGACAGCGCCGGAATACTCACCCAATATCGCTCTGAATTAATAAAAGAAACAATAACTGCAATGAGCTTATATACCAATGAAAAAATAAATTACTCATCAAATCAAAAACTAGTTATAACTAAATACAAACATGATCGAGAAAAAGCTATATGATGGCGGTGGATGACACCAATGATTCAATCGGACGATGCAAAATTGGAAATCGGTGATCTATGTGATGTGACTGAATGTTGTGTCAATCAAAAGCTATTACATAGTTAGACTAAAAGGATGTTTCGATAAACAACTTAATTATAACAAACATTTATCATATGAGTGTTTAGTATAAGTTATTTCTAAAAGAAAAGATAAAATAAAGTCAAAGTGGTTTCATAAGCTATCCTAGAGAGCTTATAGAAATAACTGAGGGTAGCTTATTGATACATCATAATCAGTTTACATAAGCTCTCTCAAACAGTCTCACAAATGCTTCTGGTAATTGATAAACTCAAATAAGTCAATCCAAACAAATTCTAAGAAACTAGACACATTTACGTTGACTATTGAAATTTCTTTCAGCATACAAAACCAACCTAACTGGGCCACATGATTTCAGTCCCTTTCCCCACAAGACCAGATACAGTGCTGTTATAAAACCGTTTATTATAGAAGGCACAACCTGAAAAACAAAATGGAATTAGTTACGGAATAGGCATACCATGTTAAAAGCTTAAAATTTACTTAGAATGTAACGCTTATTCGTTTGTATTCTCTGGTGAAGTAGAAATCAAGTTTACCTGTGTATTAGAAAGTGGCCTTCCCTTCCAAGGCTTTTGCAAAATCAAAAATAGGATAGCTGCAGGAGCCAGACAGGCAAAAAGAAAAAGAACAACCGAAGCTCCGGTCTGTGATAAGTATCGGAACATGGAGTATATTGACCAAATCCTCAAGAAATTTGCAACAACATGAATTATCTGCAAGGGTGTATGTCTACAAAGGGAAGAAATGGCGTCAGAACGTTATGTCATATATCATATCTCCATCCAACTAATTAACCTCTAGGTCTTTCCTAATAGTTTCTCTTACAATTTTTCAAGGTCTTTATCTCTCTAAACTCAAGCGATTTGACTACCCTCCATTTGTTGTAATTTCCGTAGTACAGAATCTTGAAGTCTTCTCTCTACCAGTGTTATCAAATATCTGCAATTGCGGCGCTATGGCGGATATACATGGCTGTTTTTGGGCTCGTCACAATAGTAAATATTGGCCGATATTGCAGGTTTTTCTGCCACAATCCACTATAACGGCGCCACAAAGCGTCCGGTATGGCGGGATTTTTGCTCTCCACCATGGACAACACTGCCCTCAACATGTCCAAACTACCTAATTCGAAATTCCACCATCTTTTCTACGATATGTGTTACTCTAACTCCCTCTCTATTGTTGTTGTTCGTAATCATGTATCGTCTAGTCTTACCACACATCCAATACAACATTTTCATCTCTGCTACGCTTAATTTGAGCAAATAAAGTAATTGAAATCATTTTATACTACGAAATAAATGCTCTTTAATCAACTTCATTAACAAATGATGGATTGAATCTCAACATTTAAGTAGACTACAACTCTTATAATAGCTATGAAACACTAACACAGTAGCAACAACCAAGTTCTTAAACAACTAAACCACATGAATTTCAGCTTAAAGCTCAAGCACATTTCAATGCACCTTACAATACTCAAAATCGAAACAAATAAACATACACCTTCAGAATATCACAAATAAAACCGCTCAAGATCTTTCCCAATTTAAAATTAAAAAAATCCCTTTTTCTCTTAATTTGAACCAATGCTAAGAAATAAGTCATACCCAGAATCCATTACGACTAAATTAATGAACACAAAAAAAGAAAAATTATATATTTTTGTGTTTACCTGAAATGATGATGAGGAGGAGAGGCTCGATCATCTGACAAATGATTTGGGGACATCATTGTTCTGGAATGGTAAGAACAGAGTGTGATAGATGAAGAGTAAAGAGTGTGGTGATTTCAATTCAAATCAAAACAAAAATTTGGGGTTCAAATCACAAATTCATCCTTGATTTCTTCATTTTTTCGCTATTACATAAAGGGTTCTGTCTTTTTTTTTTTCAAGTTTTTTTTTCAGTTGAATTTATTTTTGGGTTCTTTGTTACAGGCCCCCACCAATGGAAAAACATGGATCTCATTCTGACAACAACAATGTTTAATTTGACACCCCCTAATTTAAACCTCACACCCTCTATTGCGTATGAAAATACAATAATGCTTCTAAAAAAAATTTCACTTAGTTTTAAAATTTAAAGTTGACACGCGCAATTTCATTTGTTTAGGGGTGATATCATAAATTTTGAATCTTTTATCAGAAATTTCAAAAACAAATATGTTTTATTACCGCAAATGTCTAAATTTAAAATTTTGTATTAGAAATTTCAAAATTTTGGGTATTCTTGAAAATATTTAAATCAAAATTTTAAAATTTTCAGTATAAAATCACCTGATAGTTTCTGAAAATTCTAAAATTTTTTATAATTATAAAAACCTTGTTTTTTTATAGGAAATTTCAAAAAATTTCGACAGTTATAAAAAATTTATTTTTTATCGAAAATTTCATAATTTTGGACACTCATAAAAACTTTTTTTACTAAAAATTCTGAAAATTTCCGTAATTAATAATTTTTTATTTTTTTCTTCTTTTGCAATGAAATATAAAGGCATGGACGACACTGTTGCAGGCAGAGTGGCAGAGCAGACTAGGACTGTTGAGGCTGAGTCTTCCTAAATAAAGACTGGACGGGTGGTTCCAACCGGTTCACACCGAAAACGGATGGCTGAGCAGGGTCAATTCCACGGACCTCGTAGCACTTGACGCCAACCGGTACGATCAATTGAGTAGTCTAGAGATGGGGGGACAGATGAGGTGGTTCAGGTAGATGGTGTTGTTGCTGAGGAGGTTGCTAATGAGGTGGTTGTTGGTGAGGTGGTTGTTGATGAGGTGGTCCAGCCAGATGCTGTTGTTGCTGATCTGATCTCAACTTTTACTGCTGACACAAAGGTTATAGCTCCTTCGAATGAGCCCTTTGTGCACACTGATAGAGGATTCCCTAGAGAACTCATTGACCAATTGGTGCTTACTGAGTATGTTGATCATGTGGCGTTACGACTATGGCAGAGAGAGGTATATGTCTTTTATGTTTAACTTTAATTTGTTCATTATTGTGCCATGAAAGCTAATTGCTAATTTTTAAACTTTGTTTGTTACAAGACCGTATCCTACTAAATGTGGCATCTCACAGGTCAAAGCTGAAGTCCCGAAGATTTTGATGCTTGAGCAGGTCAGACGGATTATACGGGAGTTCAAGCTCCTTGATTTTTCCCACTGCTCCCTTACCATGCTTGGCGCTCCACTACTTATTACGTTTGTTGAGAGATGGCACAAGGAGACAACTTCATTTCATCTTCCGTTTAAGGAGATGACTATCACTCTAGATGATGTATCCTCATTGTTCCATCTCCCCATCGGTGGTAGATTCTAGGCGGCTCCTGTTTTTAGCCCGTCGCTTGCGTGTATGACTGCCGCACGAGATTTGGGAGTTTCTAAGGAGGTCGTATATAAGGAGTTTGGATTCAACATGGGCATTCACCTTCGTATGTCTTAGCTTCGGAAGACGTATGGCGAACTTTTTGTGGCTGGGAGTTTAAAGGATGTCGATATGGTGTACATGTTACATCTAGTAGCATGTATTATCTTTGCAGACAAGTCGAGTGTTTATATAGACGCCCAGTACGCGTGCATGTTCAGTAGCCTCGAGGTTACTAGTTAGGCTTGGGGTGTGCTACATTGACCATTTTGTATACAACACTTGGAGTGGCAACAATATTTGAGATCAGAAAGCTTGCTGATTATTTAAGTTTGTTACAGGTATACTTGAAATTATTATTCGTTATTGATTTCTTATTAAATTGTTACGAATAAAATTTCTTATTTATTATTTGTTGTGTCTGTGTTTTGATATCAGTGTTGGGTATACAAGCATTTCCCCACCATCCATGACAGGAGAGTGCAACATTCCCTAGTAGGATCCCCTTGGGCGAGGAGATGGTGGGCCAAGAAGTCACATCCTAGTGGTGTTGTTGAGTATAGGAGGAGGCTCAATGCGCTGACTGTAGATGATGTCATATGTACACAATACATTTATCGTAGAGTTCACCGTGAGTTCGATAAGTCTTCATTATATTCAGGCTATATGCGGTGGAAGACCATGGTTGTTAGGAACTTGACTGAGACAGAACTTGAAAGATTGGAAAAGCATTAAGAGAATGAAAAAAACTTTAAAAATATTTCCTTAAAGACTAAAATCAAAAGTTATGATAATAATCAAGAAGATGAATCTCAACCCACTAGCAATGAAGATGATTCTCTAATCAAGAAATTTGAAAAGTTCCTGAAGAAGGAAAGGACAAAAGAAATGAGTCAGAAAGAAGCACCAAGAAGGAAGGTTACTTGCTTTGAATATGGGAAAAGAGGACATATCAAAAGTGAATATCCTACACTTCAAAATAAGAATAAATTCAAAATCAGGAAGGACAAAAGACCAAAGAAAACATATGTGGTATGAGATGACAATGAGATAAGATCATCTTTAGAAGAAGAAACAAACATGGTATTAATGGCTTGACGCCATTCTGACAATGAAGAAAATGAGGTTAGTGATTTTAAATTAATGATATACCTTCATACGCTGAATTACAAAATACATTCCATTAATTATAGGAGAAATTTTTGAAATTTTCAAAAAAAAATGTTCAAAACAAAAGAAAACTATTTTAAATCTAGAAAGTGAGACAAATAATACAAAAGTGGAGTCGGACTTAATCAAAAATACAACATGTAATAAATTTTTATCTCTTGAATGAAAAATTGTGGAATTAAACCAAATTATTACCAAATATCAAAAAGGGAAAATTAGATTGGATAATGTGTTGAGTAGACAAAGATACACAAATAGCAAAAATGGGCTTGGATATTCATATTTTAATAAATCAAGTACAACTCAAACCAACTTTGTTAAAGCTAACAACAAATTCCACAATTTGAAACTAAGAGAGGAATACTTCAAATTAATCCTAATAAGGTCTATGATAAAAATATATATATTCATAAAGATAGAAATTTCTTTAAGCCTACATCTTTCTATTGTAATACAAGAGGCCATACCCCTTAATATTGTTATATAATAAACTATAGAATTCCTTATGATGAGTATATGTGGGTAAAGAATGAAACTAAACAGCAAGGACCCAAAGCATATTGGGCACCTAGAAAGGTACTATTAATTATTTTGTAGGTACTTAAAAGTCATATGCAAATAGTCTCAAAATTAAGACGATTCTTTAAAGATACAAGACCATATGATATGGTAGAATTAAAAATTTGTTGGATTAAACATGATTTGGAAAAGAATGAAATAAAATAATATATTGCGAAGAAGATAAATATTTTTATATCTAATGTACCATTTCCTATATATATATTATGTTTGTGTGGATTTTACTCTTTTTCTTTTTGATAATGTCAAAAAGGGGGAGAAGAGATATGTTTTTTCTCTTTTTCAGGATACCAAAGACAAACTTATAACTTGCAAAATAAAGTGGGAGATATCTAAGATAAAGGGAGTTATACAAGATAGGGGAAGAAAATATTGTCAAACAAAAACTTTCCATCAAAAGGTTTTGTCATCTTAAAAAGAGTAGATTGTGAAGATGTTCATCGTCTTTGGAAGCTTTACTTTTGATGAAGACAAAAGATTATCACGTAGGAGATATCAAAGAAGAAAAGAGATTATAATCAAGTATCTAGAGTTCTGCGTCATGAAGCTCAAGAACTTGATCATCTTTTAAGGTACCACCGTACCAGTAACAATTGATTTATGAGTATACACTAGGTGCTCAAGTTTCTCTTCTTCTAAACATTCTTTAAGTGTCTTAAGCTTTTTGTGTATTTTTACATTCATGATATTTTTTTTAAAAATAGGGAAAAATGATTTTTGTGTAGCTACAATCAATTGTATAAAACTTTTTATAAGGCCACAATAAATTGTACCATTACCACAATAGATTGTACCAAATTCACTGGCTTTTGAAAATGTGCTCAAAATGCTTGTGCTACTCAATTAGGTTATTCACCATAATCAATTGCATGGATCTCTTTTGTAAATTTTCAAATTCTTTAATGTTACACTTAGTAAAATCAATTGTATGGAACACCTCAATTGATTGGACTCTCATTATTTTTGAAAAAAACATCATACAAACCTTCATTATAATCTTTCATGACATTTTTTCATAATATTGACACTTTTTCTTAAGGTATCATGCAGGGACGGAGTTAGAAAATTTGCATAGTGGGGGCAATAATATACATAAATTTATTATTTTGTTTTAGTTTTTTTAATTTTCAATTTAAGTAAATAAAATAAATATTCTATTAATTAAAATATTATACTTTAAATTTAAAATAATAAATAAATATGCACAATTTAGATGAAAAAGTTGTACATATATGTTTTAAAAAAATAAACTAGAAAAAGAAATAGAAAATAGAAAAGTATATATTATGTTTTTTTTCTCTAAAAATTAAATGAATAAAAACATTAAAAAAAGTTGGAGATATACATACGGTATATATTATAGCTTTGCATTATTACATTCATATATGATATTTGAAAGGCATAATGTTGGTAATGAAAATTAAGTGGGGGCACATCCCTACAGTATTGGCAATGTGGCTCCATCCCTGGTATCATGATGCTATAAAATCTATATCAAGTTTTAAAAAAAAACCTCTTTCGTGAAAGTTATTGTGTTCATATCATTTTTACATAAAGCTTTTTATTGCATAAATGTCATATATAAGGAAAAAAAAAAGTATCTTTAACATGTTGAGCACTTAA